CCTTTTTTGGAAGAGGATATTAAATAACAATTATCCTACTCATTAATACAGTACACGATAAAGAGAAAATAAATAAGACCTGGATGAAAGGCGTAAATGTGATATATATTTTTTTACTCACCTTTTCCCCAGTCTTTCCATGACAGCAGTAATATTATTCATGCAGCCATAAGAAGTCTGGGAAATATTTTGTCTTGACTTGTCATTCTGATGTTGTCTGGTTAATTTATGAGAATGTGGGCATTTTAGAAGCTTAGCTTTTCTGAGAGACCGGCTATTAACCTATAACACCAGGTTACAGCTACAGAAGTTGAGACTTTAATTAGTTTTAATTCATCCTTGTTTTACTAATTTGTACAATGAAGCATAAAGGTGTGAATCATAGTAAAGAATAAGATAGGAGGGTCACATTCATCTCTTACACATGAAGACCAAGATGTGGCAGAATTGGTCTTATCCATACAATAGTAGACGGAATTGGAGACACTGTATTTAAGTAGATACTTCTTCCCATACTTTCTTCCCTCTATAACAGGGTGGTGTTTAATTCAACAATCTGCAGGCCTATTAGCCAGTTCTGTTTGTGGCACTAGGGATCAAAAGCACAAAACATGGTTCCCTGTCTCCTGCTTTCTTGCCTATGTTTCATAATCTCAGACAGATGCTTGAGTTTAAGTCTATATCCTGCTCTGTATGCCAGACCCAAAACCTATGTGTTAGGTAGGCTTATGGTGAAGAAGATGCATTGTTGGGATACAGAGGGCTGTGTGCTTAGTTAAGATGGAACTCTTTAAACATCATGTGATGAAACAATATGACAAGACCTCCCGCATACTGTGAAATGTCCCTCTGAAGGACTGTAAAAGGAAGTCTCAAGAGAGCTGGGATTGATGGTAACAAATACTGTGATCAAAACAGATACTGCAATTTGGTGATTTGTTGCATCAGTTTGTTTGCATCAGTGGAGCACTCCCCACTGACCTCAAGTAAATGAATAGGAATTAGATAAGGTCCAGATTGAATAAAGGACAGTGCAATCTCATATAACTTTTATTCATGCAAACAATGCAAATTGCAGTAATGAGCTGGATATGAAACAATTTCTGAGCTGATTTCTTTATTATATAGTACCAAGATCAACAGAAAAGTAAAGGAAGTTAACTACTGCCTTTGTTGTCTGTAATCTCAAGCAACTAGATAGCAACATACTATTTGGAACTCAAAAGCAGAGCTGGCCTTTTGTAACCTCCTCCTTCCCACCTGTTCTGGATATTGGTTAACTGGAAAGATGAATAATGAATCAGATGTTTCAGGCTCTTTCAGATTCTAGCTTGGCTGGAAGAGAAACTGCAAGACTCATCAAGCACTGGGCAATAAAAGCATGTGCAGACAGAAACACCCTGAGTCTACATAAGCTGATGCTGTTTCTGCCATTTGGCTCATGTAAAGATTCTTTAAATCCTCTTACAGTAAAATCTGTGGAGGAGTAATGCATTTGTACTGATAAAAGTGTGCCTGTCTCTTTTGTAATAAGCAGCAACGAAGCATTGCTGAGTCACCTCTGGTGTGAGCTCACTCATTTTTCATTACCGTGCAGCAGGTGTCACGAGCCTTTTCTGATGCAATTGTCAGTAAGAGCTCTGCTGTCAGCCACTGTGTCACATGGCATCATGGACAGAGCCAGCTGATGAAATGAAGGAGACAGGTGAGCATCTGATACTGAAGTACAAGAAAATTTGGAGAAACATTACCTCACTGAGGAGAAAGAAGGGATGAGCACAGATCAAATAAAAATAGGAGATGGTACAGAAACAAAGGGGAGAAATAAGAAAGTCTGCTGCAGAAACAATTCTTGCTTTACCCTGACCAGAGTTTCCAGCAGATTTTGAATCAGACAAGCACATGATGTAAAGCTAGGCAAAGACATAGAGAAAAATAGGCCATCTCACCAGGTGAATATTTGTACAAGCTCTTCTTGGATGAAATGCACTTGGAAGCATCCCAGAGCTGGGCTCTGACCCAAATTAGAGTACGACACTGTGTGCAGATGATCAGTGTGATACACTGGCTCCAACCAGTCTTCAGATCAATTCATTTCTCCTCTGCTGGCTCAGAATGCTGGCAATCAATAGTCTGAGTAAGCCTTGTGGATCAGTATCCACATAAGTGCATCTATCTCAGTCTTTTCAGGGGCACATTCATTCCAAGCTTTTGAAAAAGAAGTTGCGTTTTTTTTTCCCCTCTATTTTGACTGCTAAATATAGTCCAGATGCTCACAGAGACCATGTTCTTTTCTAGTTCATTGGCCTTAGTGGGAGAACTGCCTTAGTAACAAATAATAAATGACGAAGTACCAAAAAATTTGGCCCTAAGTGAACAGTATGTGATCTTACAAAACTTTTGTCTTTTTGCAAAGTCAAAATCAGGGATTGAGTCTTTTATTAGGGCAGAGTTTTTGAGTAATGCACCATCACATCTAGCAGAATTTGTTGACAAGTCTTTAAGACAGTCCTCTTCCCCAGAATGGAAGTACTTGTTATCTAGCTTTGTGTCTTGTATAAAGAGATGAAATCACATTCATATATGAATATATAGTCTTGCGGTTCAAGCTCACGCACTGCACAGGTTGTATCTCAATTTGTTTTTATAACAGAGACTGTGTGTAGTGCGGTAAGGACTGGGCCCAGCAGCTACCTTGTCTGCTCAGTGCCGTACCTTTAAGCAAATTCCATGGCTCACTACACAGCTTACAGGGAGATTAAGTGCTTAGAATGGGATTCAAAGCAGGTTGTATGCTAAGTAGGGAACTGCAGACTAGAGATAACCAGGAGACAAATGCAGGGCCTGGGAGGGTAGAGGCAAGATGCAAGTCTCAAGAGTCTGCACTCCAGATCCAGAGTTGGTACATTCTCCCTAGAGATAGATTATTTCAGAAAACTTGTCAAGCATCACTTCCTTCCTCTGAAATGGTGATCATATTTTCACAGAGTCAAACAATCACAGAATGGCTGAGGCTGGCAAGGACATTTGGGTCCAACCTCTGCTCCCTCAGAGACACTCAGAGCAAAAGAGTCAGGACTTAGTTCAGGCAGGTCCAAAGGTCTCCAAAGATCTCCAAAGAGCATACCCCATAGCTTCTCTGGGCAGCCTGCGTCATTGCATGTCACCTGCACAGTAAAAAAGTGCTTTCTGCTAGACAGACAGAACATCTTTTGCCCCAGTTTCTGCCCATTGCCTCTTGTCCTAGCTTTAGGCACACTGAAAAGAGCCTGACTCTGTGCTCTTTCCAAATGCCCCTCAAATATTTACAGAAATGGATAAGGTTCCCCCAGGTCTCTTTTCTGGGCTGTACAGTCCCAGCTCTCTCAGACCTTCCTTACAGGAGGGATGGTCTTGTCCTTTGACCATTTTGATGGCAATATATTGGACTCTTTCCAGCATGTCCATATCTTTCATGTAACACAGGGCTCAGAACTGGAAACTGCTCAGATTTGGCTTTGTCAGGACAAAATACAAGTGAAGAATCACCTCTTCTGTCCTGCTGGCAATAATTTTTCTAATGCAGTCCAGGATATTATTAGCCTTTAAAATGGCAAGGGCATGTTTCTAACTCATACTTAACTTGGAGCCTGCCAAGACTCCCAGGTCTTTCTCTGCAGAGCTGCTTGGTGCTCCCAGAATGCCCTTGTGCCTGGTTTCGGGACTTCAATTAGTTCTTGTTGAACTTCCCAAGATTCTTGTCCTACCACTTCTTTAGCTTGTCGAGGTCTCTCTGATCTTCTCATTGTCACTTCACAGCCTTCTTTACCTCATCACACTTTGTATGATATTTAATGGTTGAAGTGCTCACCGAGAATGTAAGCAATCCAGGTTTAAGTTCCAGTGTAACTTATTAACAATAATTACCAAGCTGGATTTGGTTAGCCTCTGGGGCTATTGCTGTGGTTGTACATGTGTAGCAGAGGATTCAAGAATTTCTTGGACAAAAGGTGTGCACAAGCAAGGCCGACTATGTTCCCCAGGGAAGGAAGAGATTTGAGTATTGGACTGTCAGGTTAATAGATTGTCCTTCACATACTCATGATTAAAGTACACATAATATGTTGACAGGACCAGATAGTAGCTTAGATGGAATTTTCTTTTGTCTGCTTTTAGACAGAAAGACAAGACAAAATAAAACAAACACATAAACAAGCAAAAAGCCCTGACCAATGAATGAACATACCTGGTAGACTGTAGGCTCTTATTCATTTGACTATTGGCATTATTTTTTTACTTTTAACTTTTTCTTCTTGAAGTTGATAGTAGATAGGGCATAAGAAAATGGCTTCCAGTTTTACTATGGGACGTTTAGATGAATATCAGGAAGAACTTTTTCATGGAGAGGGTGCTCAGGCATTGGAAGAGACTGCTAAGGATAGGTGGAGTCCCCACCCCTGGAGATACTTAAGAGAAACATGGGAGTGGCACTAAGGGATGTGGTTTAGCAATGGGACCTTTTTGGTCGGGCTGATGAGTGGACTTGGTGATCTTGAAGGTCTTTTGCATCCTAAATGATCTCATGGTTTTATAATTCAAGGTATTCCACAAGATTACTCAAGTTGACAGTTCATAGAACTTCACAGAAGTTTTGTTGCATGCTTAATTCTCTGAGTGCTTCATAACATTTTTTTTTTTCTTACTTAAAATAATTTAAGGATCAATAAAAGCTGTAGGTCTCCTTTGCCCAATGTAGACTTTTCCAAAGTCAGGTGTACTATCAGTATGGAACACTAAAATATTTATTAACTATCAGCTATATGCTTTCCTATCAATTTGATACTCCTTCTCAAACTGGAATGCCACATCTTGCACATGGTCGTTTGGCAAACAGCCCTGCCATGACACGTAGAAAGTCTTCTGCCCCTAGGTAGATTATTGCTGTGAAGCACAGGTGTGTATGGTGAGTCATTGTGCCTGTTTTTTGACACATTTTCTCTATTTCTTTTCTGCCATAATAGAACTCTTCAAAACAAGAGAAGATGTTGATCAGTAGAAGAGAGCTGCTTCACTAAAGAATCCCCACATCACCTTTAGAAGCTTCAACTCATTTGTATAAGAAAAAAGTTGCAACTAGTTTTTTGCCTTGAGGACAGCACATGAGGCAAGGCCAAAATCTGTGCAGTGGTAATACAGTGCAGGTTGCAATGTTAACTGTTGTTCACCTTTTGTTCACCTCAAAGGATGTTTATTTCCTGATTAGCCAGTGTTCATCCTTGAAGGGGTGCCAGCTCCCAGAATTATGATTTATAATGCCAGCAGTTTTAGTAAAACTGGGACCAATATAAACATTCTGTGAATATGCATTTCTCTTGCCAATACCCAGAGACTCTATTTCAAATCATTTTGAGTAACACTGAATAACTTCTCTTAAACATTGCTCTTTTCTTGTTATTCTTACATCCGTTCAGTGTAATAATGGATATTTTTTTGGCTGTAAGCAGTAATGCAGCATGACACTTGGCAAATAGATGTCTGTGTGTGCAGTAGCTACTATTTTCTGGAGACTCATTTGGCCCATGTTCCCTCTGAGTGAACTGAAAATACAAATACATTTCTGTAAACTGCTTGCCAGTCTTTGCTACTGTTACCTTTTTGACTGACATTGCTTATGTTTGGGCTCAGCTGAGGACTGAACTCTTATGGGAAAATGTGAAGAATTTGATTTTAAGCTTCAGATTTATTGTGTGTGCGTTTGCTGAATGAGCATGTTGTGCTTCTACTATCTAGTCAACAGTGTGCCTGTTCCTTGTAAGTAGCACACTGTTTATAGGTAATACAATTATTTCCTCTAACCATTCAGAATCCAACTGATCACTCTCACAGCCATAAATGAATCTGTTCGACAATCTATTCTCTGCACAGTGGGTAGTCTTACATCCACCAGCTAATTTATCACTGCATCTGCCTTGCTTTGCCAAGGATATGTTCCACCGCATTTATTCTGTTCCTAGAAGCTGGTGACTGGCCATTACTTTGAGAAGAGACATATGGAAAAAAATTTAAATTTTGTGACATATCTTCCTGTCTTCATGAAACTCTTGATGACAAAAACTCATAGAGATTTCTTCCATTAGTTTTCATTCTCTTTTGCAGACTGTACTTCCAAGCAATTGCAGAGATGCTCCCCCCTGCAGTCCAGCTGGCTGGCCCAGATTAGAAGAGTACGTTTCTCAGTGCTGGTGAGAAGTGCTTAATTGATATTAACATGGATGGAAATAGTCTGCTCTGTCATGGGACAGACGTCATTTGGTACACGTTCTTTCCCTCTAATTGTATAGTGTCCATGCAACCTGAAAAGACCATCTGTAGATCTTTGAGATTAGCGCAGGCCTGTTTATTGTTTGGCTTTTCCATTTCTTTCCTAACTGTCTGGATCTGCTGTGCTAATCGCCTTGATATGTGAATGTCAAGGTTGCTTAGATGTCCTAGCAAGCAGCAGATATTTAGCATGCACTTATTTCTAGTTCAAAGTAAGTCTAAGAACTCGCTGAACTGAACAGCCACACAAGGGGATGACTTTCATCATCCAGACTGAGACAAGCTCTTTTCCGTAGTGCTGAACTCTTGCAGTCTGAACTCTACCACACAACCTGCAGATTTTGCTCCAGCATTTAGAGTTCAGGTTCAACATCTTTCCTAATGCATCCCCCTCTCCCCGTTCAGGCGAAAACTTTGAATCATTGGAATAGAACGAAGTTCATGGATGATGAAAAAGGGTCAAAACAGTAGGTATCTCCTGCAAACTGCTTTTTGATACCTGGTAAAATCTGGGACTACTTTTCAGTGAAAGAACATCCTGTGCTTTAGCCTTGTCTTGTTATACTCATAGGATTAGTACAGACAGAAGGTAAAGTGAAGATGCCACTCAGAATTGATAGAGCAATAACTTATCAATAGTAGTATCATCCTTTCACCAAACAGAATATAACGCAGAGATGTGTCTTGTTTCTATTAATATTTCATAAACCAGCTGGTGCTACAAGATCCAGCCAGTCCCAGTGAACTTCATGTTAGCCTTTTTATTAGCTTATAAATGTGATAGGGTTGATGGATACCATTTAATGGAACGTTTTCTACTCTGCTTACCTCTCCCTTCCTACCCTGAAAAATCTGACATTCATAAATTGAGGAGGTCAGTAATTTGCATCCAGCTGAGTGGCTGTCTGGCTTTAATGAGATGATTTGTAATCATAAGCACTGTACTGCAGTGGTGTCTGGTACAGAGGGAAGAGGAGCACGTATGCATACACCAGCTGAGATGGAGGAGAGGTAACGGAAGAGAGGGATAGGAGGATCAGAAAACGGAAGCAAGGCTGGAATGACATAAAGAGCTCCATTAAGTGTAATACAATAATGCTGGACTAGTTAGCATAAGAAGAGCCAGTAGTTGGCTGATGCAAGCCAGTGAAACTCTCGTTACATAGGTCAGGAAGGCTGATTGCAGGATTGTTCTTATCCAGAGCTTCTTAGAGTAGCCAGAAATAACAGGTTTGTTTTTACCAGCCTTATACACTCATGTCCTTATTGCATAGCACTATCATCCCTCTCCCAGTCTTTATATAACAGAAATTTTCCAAACTTGGAAGACACTTCACAGGATAAAGAGGTTATGTGTTGCGTAGCTGGCATGCTTCCCATCAGCTGTATTTTCATATTATTTCCCTAAAAACATGGATCACGTATGTGCGTGCTTTCTTCTGTCATCTGATAAATTTTTAACCCACCAACTTTTTTACATTCCAATCACAAAAAACTGTGGCTATGTCATCAATGATAAATTCCTGCAAGTCTCAGGCAGACAGGTAGGAGAGAGACAGAGACTCCACTAATCCCTTCACTGGGGAGAAAAGAATCCTTCAGTGAGATATTTTTAATTCCCCAGATTTGATAAAAGCTTCAATCGGCATCTGTTTCAGATCAGACAACTATGAATGTAACCACAGACAACCCGGCTACATGAACTCTCCTGTACACACAACCACTTTCTCTGACTGACTGAGGATTTTGTGCCTCCCAAAGATTCCCTTTTTCTTGTTTCCAGGGTTTTTCTCCTCCATAGTAGCAGTTCTCCCAGATCATCACATGATATTTTTTCGTCAGGAATCACAGCTGTGAAGGACTGTGTTTCCTTAACTGTGCCTCCAGCTGTCCTGAGTTATTTCACAGCAGCCCAGCTGGGCTGGTGTAGGTTTTCTTACAGCTGCAATGGAGTATCTTGCATCAGCTTTTAAGTTGTTATTTTTTAATTCATTAATTACAGTAGTTACAGCAATGGAAAGGCAAGAGTGCAAGCTGTCTTGTCCTGCTACAGGATCCTTCTGACTAAAAGAGACTGAAATGAGGCACGGGCTGCTGCTTTGTCCTAACACACTGTCTCTCTGTGCAGTTTTTTGATAGACAATTGTTGTACAGTTCATAGCTTGTCTATAAGGGATGTATTTCCAGGACAACCTACGGTTAGGTCACTTTGGAAGGAAACAGACCTATCATCACAGCCCCCCTTTTTTCCTTTGCCAGTTCACATCTTGTGACATCCAGCTCTAGTTCACATCACCTTTCTGAGCTATGACCTCACATCCCTTTCCTCACATCCCTCTGGAGCATGAACATCCTTCCTTCCAAGCAAAAATGATCTTCTCTTTCTCCCTCTCCTGAGCTCCTTCTGTAAAACATGCAGGCTTCATGTGCTTCCTTCATTGCAGATGTTTGTGGCTGTGCAACATAAGCCCTTCCTCCTCCCCGGGGAAACGTTACCTCTGTGTTAAGCAACAGAAATTTAACTAGCAGAAATGTGTGGGTGGTCTTCAGAAATCATGCCAGTAAACTCTTTCTTCACCACATTTTTACTTACAACAGACAAAGAAGAAGCAACAGAGCTCTAGCCAGCAGACAATAACAGTCTGCCTTCTGTTAAGACAGCAGGTGCCTTTACACACCCTAGGGAAAAAGCTCCCTCCAGGTAAGAGGAATGCTCCTGATCTCTTTTTGAGAAGGGCCCTATCCAGGAAGCAGATCCCCCAAGCCTCTCTCTTTCAGGCTATGATTCTATTTAATTCAATCAGCAGGCCTGTGAGCAGACAGCCTCTGTGCATAGCTTTTACACTGAGGGACATGCTGCTTTGCCAGGTCCTTAAAGTTGCCTATCTGCCAAGCTACATAAAGAATGATTTGTCAGAAAATAATTAGTTGAGTATAGTCTTAATGTTAAGAACATGAATGAACTGCAGATAGTATAGAGGGTTGACAGGAAGGAAATTCATTCTTACTGTTTCTCTAATGCACACTGTCTCCTCTTTGTCTAGGGATTATCCCACAGATGTCACCTCCTGGCCATCAATGTGTTTTAGTGTAGCCATTCACGCTAAGAGCAACCTTGATACGTTCATTGGTGCTGCTTTATTGTTTTCTCAATCATGTTTCCTTGACTTGACTCATCCTGTCCTTTTGATCAATAGCAGATGTCACCCACCATGAGACATGTTTTGGACTGATTTAAAGTGCTTGTTAGTACAAGCTTCTGAATCGCCTTGCTGAGCTTCTTCTCTTTGATGTTGTTGGCACTGGCTAAGGTCTTAGGTTGGGATTTTAAAAGGAGCACAACAACTGAAGAACCCAGAACATGGAGAGTTCTCCAGACCCTGTTGAAAATCAGGAGTGTGAAGCAAGACTGCAAGAAATTTACTTTCTTTCAATTCAGTGAGCACAGAGGTGCTTTTTTCTTTTTCTTTTTCTTTTTCTTTTTCTTTTTCTTTTTCTTTTTCTTTTTCTTTTTCTTTTTCTTTTTTTTTTTTTTTTTTCCAGAGGTGCCTTTCAGAAGCTGTGTGCTTAGGCATATTTGGAAATCCTATTAGAAGCCATTCAGCATCTTTATATGCCTAAATTCCTTTAAAACCTGACTCAGCATACTGTGATATTCTTCTGTGTGTGAAAGCAGCAGCATAAAGAGCAGGCTGTCAGTGAATGACTGATACTGTATGAATGTGTGGAATACAAGCCAAATCCCAAAAGAAAAAGCTCATATGTTACAGTCATATAACCCAGCCACTTGTTTCATCAGCAGTTGTCGCAGCAAAGCTGTTATTTCCTGGTTCAAGAGTCTTTATCACTTCCTTATCCGTGATGAATACTATTTGAATCCTACGAGGAGGATTCAAAAGGCAAATCAAAGTGTTATTCAGATACTGTGTAAAGTCAAGGAACGAAAATGCTCCCAGCAGTGGCCTCTGTCTACTTGGACATGTGGAATGGATAGCTGGAGTTCCTCACATAATTTAGGTTACATTACCATTTCCCTAAAAAAAAAAATCCTCAGTCTGGATTCAGTTTGCATAAGTAGGAGCTTTAAAAGCTAAGTTGAAAACATCTCATTCCATTCTTGCCAACATCCAGCTGAAAGACATTTCTGACCATGAATTGTAATGGTGGAAAACATTGGCTGATTCCATCAAAGTAAGAACGAGAAACAGGCAGACAGATAGGCAATTTCTGAGGATATATATCCTGTTTCCTGTGATGGGCAGCTTTCTCATTTAAATTATTCCACTATATACATTCTCTATTCAAGCATGAAGTGCTCATTACAAGTCTCAACATAAATAATGTACACTTAAAATGGTTCCCTGTGCCATAAATATTGACCTTGGTTAATAATTGATTATGGGATTATATATCTACTTCTGTCAAACAGTACTGATTGGAAGTTTTGCCTCTTCCCATTAAGTTTCTTTACTTATACTTCTGTATTTTTTTTGAGAAGATATTATGCTGATGCCATCAGTGCTTCAAATGACACATAGGTTTGTACAGGGGCATAGAATGCTTCTCTCCCCAGTTCTTGCTTGGTGTCTTCAGTCATTTAATTGCAAAATATGAAAAAGAATCTTTTGAATTTGTGTTATAATTTAATCCACGATTTCTCTGCAAATGCTTGCTGTCATCTTTCTTGTTCATTTCTTGTGTTAACCCTAATGTCAGAGTATTAAGCTATGACTATCATTCATTTTGTGAGTCCGATTCATGAAAAGTATTTCAAAGAGCAGACTGTGGACCAGATTTGATGCCTGAAATGCTTGGAAGCCAAGACATTCCTAGTATATGAAGCATCTCAGCTTTATGCTTGATAAATCTATACTGTCTTTATTGAGCATTTGAAATATTCCATAAATTCGAGGAGGAAGAAAAACTGAATGATAGGAAAATGATGTCTGGCAGAGTTAAGATTTCCAATATCAACTGCACTGATTTCCAAACAGATTGAGCCTCTGTGGTCCCTTCCTCTTTGATCCTTAGGATAAGAACATGGGAAAAGTGACCTGTGTCTCGTAGTCCAACATACTCTGTACAACTAAAATGAGTTATTTGCCTCGGCCTTGTAGATAGGCTGAAAACTGCATGCTAAGATAAAATGTGCTAAACAGCAATTCTTTAATATTCAGATACAAGTCAGCAGCATTGAGGAAAAGCTTTGACTGCAGGATTTGTGAAGAAATTTCATCAGAATATTTTGCCCTATGAGTTCTGATAGCACATTCCTCTTCCGGACATTTTGTAAATAAGTGTCACTAAAATTGCTCTGGCTCTTGTAGTTCCCCGTTTTTCCTTTTCCTCTGGCAATACAGTTGCAGACATTTGGTGTGGGATCTGAGGCATTGTATGTATTTAACTCTCTGCCTTTGTAATTTATAGTCCAATGACTCTGTTTTGAAATAGAGATATGGAGGTTGCTCTCCAAAAAGCAACATCTATTTATGGGGACAGTGAATACACAGTGTTAGAAGGTAACCAAAATGTGCAGCATTGTTTGCGAGTCCTTGAGGACCAATAAAAATAATAGAACTGCAACTGTAAATAGCTTATTACAAGCATTCAATTTCTATGCTTGGAATTCAGGGATCTGTCCAGGCCATAAAATTAATCCTCATTGCTTGCTGGACCTTGGAAGAAGGGTGCCTCTGCCAAAGGTCACTCAGTTCTCAGTGGTAGCATCAGTGCTGATTTGTTTCAGTTCCATGCATAAACATTTACTGTTCTTCCTTACCAGTTGGGATTGCTTGAAATTGGAATTTCAATTTCCAAGGATTGGAAATAAGGGAAGAAGAAGTAACACAGCCTCTTCATTACTAAGAATTTTGCCTTAAGAAAAGGCCAATAAAAGGACTAAGGCACTAAAACCAAATATGAGATGGTCAATTAAAGCAGAATGCTGAAACAGTTTTGCCTTGGCCTAGTGTCTGAAATAGATGGTGAAGGAATGATGAAAATTTGTGGTGAGAGTTAAAGTTAGATATGGGAAAATATGTTTTATGTTCAACTATAACTGTTTTTATTTTTCACCATGCCAAGAATGATTTTTGCAATACTCTTTTCAGGGTTTAATTTTTCTAATTACTACGTGTTAATCAAGAATATGCTGAAATACCTAAAGGAGCCAAACTGCACAGTTTATTTGCACAGATTTGTGCCCAGGTTATAAACTGCTGTAATTCAACTTGCATCATTTTAAATATTTCATTTTCTACTGTATTTCTTCTTCTGAAACACATATCTCACAACTTAAAAACTGCTTTGTGGTCACTGGCTTATGGGTGAGAGTTAAGGATTGAGGCAACAAAGAGAGCCTTGTTTCTGGTGTTTACTACAGGCTGTTTGACCAAGCAAAGCCTATTGGTGAAGCCTTCTTCCTCTAGCTACAGAAGGTATTGTGACTGTGGGATCTTGTCCTTCTGGGGAAATTCAACTACCCTGACATCTGCTGAAAAAGAAGCATGGTGAGCTGTAGGCAATTCAGGATGCTCCTGGAGTGTATCAAGGATAACTTCCTGAGCCAGGTAATAGGCATCCCCACCAGGGGGATGCAGTGCTTAACAAGCACTAGCGAACTGATTGCTGACACCAGGATTGGAGGCTGCCTGGGATGTCGTGACAATGTAATTGTGGAGTTCACACTCTTGAGGGATATTGGACAGACAAAGAGTAAAATCAGGAAGCTTAATTTTACAAAATCCAATATTCAGCTCTTTAGAGAGTTAGACAACAAACCCCGTTAGGAATCTGTCCTCAAGGACAAGGGAGTGGGGCAGAGCTGGCACTCCCTTGTCACTTCTTTAAGGAAGTTTTCCTTAGGGCACAAGAGTTGTTCAACCCCAGATGTAGGAAGTCAGGAAAGGAAGGTGAAAAAACAGCATGGCTGAAGTGGGACCTACTGCTCAAACTGGAGAGCAAGAAGAAAACACACAAGCAGTGAAAGCAGGGACAGGTAACCTGGTAGGAGTATAAGGATGCCCCTAGACTGTGAGGATACGGTCAAGAATGCCAAGGTTCTACTGGAACTGGGATTGGCAAGGGGTAAAAAAAAGAACCAGAAAGGCTTCTTGCATGTATATATCAACAAGAAAAAGCAGGGAAGATGTAACCTCCAAGTGACAAATACAGGCAGGCTGGTAACAAGAAGAATGCTGAACCAAAAAAAATTTTTTTGCTCAGTTTTCACCGGTAATTGCTCTTCACACACCCCCCGAGTGGATAAATTTGACAAAGCTAAACTGCGTAGTCATTACATTCTACTTTTCCAACAGTGATGCTGCTCAGTGGTACTGAGATATCTTATTCCAGAACCCCATCTTCCAAGAACAAAAACAGAGCTGTAGATTCTCTTGAGAACCAACATAAAGAAGAACTTCAAAGGTGGACATGTTTCCCTCAGAGATGAGATTGAAGACACAGGCACATGTGTGGTGCTCTGACAAGCAACTGGGCTGCTCTAAAACAGGCCTGTATGCCAAAGGCCACTTCCTCTCCCGGTTGCTGGGAGTTTTGACCACTGACCTGCGCTAAAATGGGCTGGTTTTAATTAAATTGTCACCTTTTTCGGTTCTCAATCATAAAAGGTACCAAAAATGTAGATAGTTGCCTAGAACTCTGTGAAGCCCAAGTGCTAGCAGCCTCCCACAGGCTTGGCCCATAAGAGTTTGACAGTAGTGTAATAGATGTTTTTGTGGTCAGCCTAACCCACACTGTCTGCATAACACCAAAGTGGAAAGTGGGTGAAAAGCTCAAGGATACTCTCACTAGTATATTTTTAAACCTGTAAGTAGTATCCGCTGCTGCTTGACAGACACCTTGTAGAAAATTTCATAGAATCAAGAATGGTTTGTGTTGGAAAGGAGCCTTAAAAGCCATTGAGTCCAACTCCTCTGCAATGAACAAGGACACCTACAGCTAGAGCAGGTTGCTCAGAGCTTCATCCAGCCAGACCTTGAACGTATCCAGGGATGGGGCATGCAACACCCTTCTGGACAACCTGTTCCAGTGTCTCACCACACTTAATGTAAAAAATTTCTTTTTCATGTCTAATATAAATCTCTCCTTTTTAAGTTTGAAACCACTTCCCCTTGTCCTATCACAAAAGACCCTCCTGAAGGGTCTGTCCCCTTCTTTCTTAAAGCCCCCCTTTAGATACTGAAAGGCTGCCTTCTCTTCTCCAGGCTGAACAGGCCCATCACTTTCAGACTTTCAATTTCCAAATGTTCCTATGTGAGGTGCCAGATGCAGAACTCTTGATACCCACATGCTCCAAGTCAGAAAAGAAGGTTGCCCTTTAAGGCCTGATGTTATAACAGGAAGAAAAAGTGTCCAGTTGAGCTCTAGCTAGTGCTTGCAGGAAGTACTGTCCCCTTCTCTCGGTCATGATGAGAAGATAGAGTTGCACTCTACTCCTGAAGCTCTCAACAAAGTGAGGAATAGAGAAAAGTCCCTTTTCTTCTTATCCCTTACTCTCAGTCTGTGAGCTAAGGAAGGTATGTCTCATCCTATTTGTTTGTGCAGCGCCCTGCGAAATATGGGCCTGATCTCATCTGTGGTTTTCAAGCTTTACTATAGGGCATAGAAACAATGGCCATTTTATTACCCTGAGTGTATCATTTCTGTTTGAATGCTCCCTCAGCATGGTGTTCTGACTTCAAGCTTGCCAACAGAGACTTGTGCAGTAATTAAAAGATTGTTAATATTGCTAATGTTGTTCAGAGCATAATTCCACATCAAAACACTGCTGGGCTTTTGGGACCACTTAAAATATCCAAGTTTTATGCCACTTCAAATTCAACTTCTGAGCCTTCCCTCCACAGTGGATCAAACCATGAGCCTGAATCCAATATACTCTGAATAAAGCTCCAGATTGTGTAGCTTCAAGTCATCTTCCTATGTATAAAAATTGCATATTGTATTGCTTTGTATAACAGAATTGTCTGGTCAAGTATTGTTGTTCTACACCATACAGAAATGCAGCAAAATGAATTTTCCTAGTCGGTTTATAATCTACATTTATTACAGTCCCAGTAATTCATGCTCTGGAGATGAGACTGGTAAGATCTTCTTCTCAATAGAAGTTTATCCCAAACAGAGCTGAGGAAGAAGTTCACACTGTGATCCAAAATATGATTTTCACCAGTGACCTCCATCATACTTTTACAGATTAAGGTACCATTTTGTCCCCTTTTTTTCCTCTTTCAGAGACAGAAAATGCAAATTCCAGCTCACAAAGTCAAGTTAAAGTTGTTCTGTTTACCTGGGGTACATTTAATTATAGTGCTAGTTATTACAGTGAGTATCTGATTTTCATGAAATCTGAGTTTCTGTTGTGGCATGGAACTAATTGGACAGCAGTCACAAGAACTGTATATGCTGAGTATTAATCTTCAAAACCTGTTACAATGGAAGGTGCTGGGTGGTGAACAACTGTGAAAATTTGCCTTCACATCATCACTATTAGCAAGAGATTTTGCAATTGGTTCTCAGCTCTGATAAGAGTTCTGTATATAGCTATTCATCATCAAGATCAGAGTTTCTCTCAGTGGAAAACTGAACCTGGAGTCTATGGTTTGGACCAGGCATAGTAAAGTCCAGGTACATTTTCCACATCACTGCTCTAACAGAAGGGATACTAGCTGATTTTCTCTTTCTGTTTGCCCACCTGATTTCTTTGTGACATAGGACAAACATTTCCTGATAGACAATTTAGCTTCAGTCAGCCTGGAATACTTGACTTGTAGTGCTTTCATTGCTTTAATTCTGTTAAGGTAATTTGAGAATGAACTCAAATTTACTGGTAAACATGTGGACAGGGCACACAGAAAGATCTGCCAAGCTACAAAGGCATCATATATAATGAGTCTCCTGGATATGCATCCTCTCCATCTTATAAACCCAGAGTAAAAGCTTTCATTTCAATGTGAAAACTGGCCTGGAATTTGTGGCAGCACAAGCTTATTTCTAAAGACTGATATGAAAAACAGTTTATCTGTGCTGTGGTCAATTTATCATACTTCTCACACTTTTTGAGTCATTTTTTTAGAGAATAACGAATTATAATCATCACTGCATTCAATTAATTTTACTCATCTGGTTCTTATAGAGTGTTTGTATCAGATGTCTTATAACAGCTGATAAATCATTCCTGAGTAGTTACAGAGGCAGTGGCAGTAGTGACATACAGTGGACTGACAGCAGGAATGTGTCACACCAAATCTCCTGCCCCCTCTTTCAGCAAAGATCTTTGTGACCTTTGGTGGCATTTGCAAGGAATCATTTTATCCGGATGTTCCTTGGCTCTATTGATCTCGTATAGGATTAATCTTAGACAAGCAGGCCATATAATTTATGTAAACTCTGCAGGTAATTAAATTCCTACCAGCAAAGGTCAGGGCAGAATATTTAAGTTTTCATTTGAATAGAAATTACAGTTAGAAATGAGTTGGTAAAAAACATGCAAAGCAAGAAATTTGGAGCTTGTCATATCAATTATTATGATGTAACTAAGAGAACTCAGCCTATTTCTCAGGGCCTAATATTCTATTTTCATCATCTGCACACACAGTTCAGAAATGTTTGTCTATAGTTACTTACAAATAACTTTAAGGAATATTCAAATAGTTCTAATATACAGTGAATGAAAGCATCACTTTTTTTTTTTTTTCTTAGAGACACCAAAGAATCTCTGTTCTAACTGAATGAGATCTTTTCACATCTTTGTAACTGAAAATAATGCAATGAAAATAATACCCACACACCTTTCACCAGGATTTCAAGACTCTTAGCATTATTTTCCAGTGTATCTTCCAATTTCACAAATCTTTGGGTTTTTGTGTCCAGGATTGTCTTCTGCAAACAAAATTATAATTTTTGGGAACATAACATTGTCAAATAAATTCATGGCTTGTGAGCAAGGACACTGAACAACACAAGTAGAAATCCCCATCTAGACACAATGGAGGACTGTTGTAAGATTGTAAGACAACCTAGGCTGTGAGCAGAGATGATCAGTGAGCAAAATTCTTGAAGCAACCCAAAGTGTAGCAATGGTTTTCAAGAGTACCTTTCCTCCTACTGACAGGAGAGAGAGATGATTGGTGAATAAAAAAGTTCCCAGTTACAGAACAATACGTATCATGAGGTTAGTTTTTTATTCTTTTCTTGTCTTTTTCCTTTGTTTCTCATTGAATGGCCTTTACAAGGCTGATGTGAAATGGATTAGTCATTGTCATTGAGAAATACACTCATATTCTGGTCTCAGTGTCATGACATGAGCATGAGCACTTCCCTCTTCTCAGCAAGGATTTCACTGAGGTCTGGTTTGCTCTTCCCTCTGCTAACCTCTCCATACTGATTACGAACTCTCCATCCAGTACAGTTGCTCTTTAAAACTTCTAGTTGCAAACTTGTCCACTATCTTGAATACCTCATACCCAAAATCTGTTTGCAGTAAGAAGAACAAAACCTACCTGGGATTTAAAATCCCAGAATGAAGAAAGAATTCATGTTGTGAAGGACCTCAGAAATTTTCTAAACCAACCTTCTGTTCTGAGAAGGGAGAGCTATTAATTCACGTTGCTCAGGGCCACATTTGATTGGGTTTTGAAAACCTTGGTGTACAGAGACTGCACAACTTCTTCAAGCAAAATGTTTATCTGCTTGAGTGTTGACAGGACAAATAAGGTTTACCTCATTTCCGTTGTCTCACACCTAACATCCCTCCATACAGCACTCAAAAGACCTTTCCTATGCCCTGTGGATAACCCTTTGACAGACAATGTACTACCAGGTCCTCCTCTCATCTAAAGGCAGAACAAGCCCTGGTGACAGCCTGACCTCACAGAGCAAGTGCTCTGGCTTTTTTTTGAAAGTGGAGGAAACATTTACCCATTATATGCATGAAATTTCACCTAATCTCCATCACTTTTCAAAGCTGATAGAGGAAGAAGGTCTTGCAAGGAAGTAACTCAGGTTTCTCAATATCTTGTATGCAGCCCATTGGATCCCATGTGCTTATGTGGGTCTAGATCTCAGGGGTAATCCTTGACTTGATGCTCATTCTCTGAAGTTAGCTCTTCTCCTCCTTGAACTCCACCAAGCACAGTGCCCACTAAAGACCAGTGTAAAGAAGGCAATGATTGCCTCAGCCATATCAGTTTCTGCTATTGTTAAGTTACATGCCCCATTTTAATGGGAGTTTGGCTGCCAGCTATCGTAACCCTGTGAGTACCAGAGGTGAAAATCATGACTTCAGCTATCACCAATTTGCAGTCACTGTTTGTGGCAACCCATAATCTCTTGCAAAGAACAAAAATGTTAATAGAGGGCAAAAGCTGTGTTTTTGGAAAGTGTTTAAGTTGGAGTTTCATAAATGGACATTAAAATTGGTGTGACTCTGAAACCACGTAGGCTTTTTACAAGGATAGACCGATGTTAGACTGGCTTTGCTTTTAACATCTTGTAGTGCAAAGGAATTCCAGAAAGTAAGTGTCTATTGGAATCACTTGATAACCAAACTATGAATACTTATTATTCTTATTAATGTTAATCTTATTCTTATTAATTCTTATGTATACTTATTATTCTGAAGAAGCAAAAACTCTTGCTTTATTCAACAAGTGATTACTGTTAAGAATTCAGAAACTAAGTGCACCAGAGCACCTACAAGAGGAACATAAACCCCAATCACTGAACTGCTAAGAATGTACCCTTTGCTCTGTGATAGTTGCAGCATCTTCTGCCAATGCTGATCCTGCTGCAGATTTGCTTTGGTCACAGCAACATCTGCCTCACTAGATTTGCA